AACTGATTGTGGAAGGCTCAGATCTAACACTTGAAAAATGCGTAGATGTTGCTCATACGTACGAATTGAGTCAGTCACAGGCACAAGCAATCGCTAGCGGATCTACGACATCTCAACAGTCTGTTGATGCGATAAACCGATAATGGAGACGAGGCAACGGAAGAGATGCACACCAGAGAGACCGGAAGATGCCACCTCATCAGCAACAACAACCACGACGACAACAACGATTTGAAGATTATAGCAAAAAATGTGAAATATGTAGAAATAAACATTTCAATTCTAGTGAATGTCCAGCACAGGGACAAACATGTTTCAAATGTGGACGATTAAATCATTTTTCAAAACAATGTAAATTTAAATCTGTGCACGAGTTACATTATGAAGGTGACACTGTGGATTACGTGTGTGAATCTGACGGCGAGAATGGCCAAGAATTCTTTGTTCACACGGTAAATTCTTTTTCATCTTCTCCTGATCAAGTTTTTATAAATGTTTTGATTGGCACACAAGATAAGTTTACCAATATTAATTGCAAAATTGATACAGGTTCACAAATAAATTGCCTCCCAAATCACATATTTAGGCAACTGAAAATAAAACACCCTTTGGAAGCCTCCAAAGCAAGGTTAACTTCGTACACAGGTGACCGATTACCAGTGCTTGGAAAATTATGGTTACACTGTAAATACAATAACAAATCAGTGTGTTCCGAATTTTATGTAGTTGAGAGTTCTGCTACCCCGCTGTTAAGCCTCAAAACATCTATAGATTTAGATCTGTTAAGATTAACGTATTCGGTCAATAAGATTGAATCTATTGACGCATCTGACCTTAGTAAGGACACTGTACTTAGAGAGTACAAAGAATTGTTTCATGGGATAGGGTTATTTCCTGGAACATGTTCATTGCATTTGAAGGAAAATGCTGTACCAGTTGTTTGTCCACCTAGAAAAGTACCTTTTGGACTCAAAGATAAGCTTAAAAAAGAGCTCGACTCAATGGAGTCAAAACAAATTATTTGTAAGGTTACAGAACCTACAAACTGGGTAAATTCACTAGTATGTGTTCAAAAACCTTCAACCGGTAAGCTTAGAATCTGTCTTGACCCCAAAGCATTGAATGAAAATATACAAAGGCCGTATTATCCATTACGTACTATTGACGACATTACGTCAAAATTGCATGGCGCTAAATACTTCAGTGTACTAGACGCGACCAAAGGTTACTGGTCAATTAAATTAGACGACTACTCATCGTCACTAACGATATTTGGACGGTACAAATATTTAAGACTTCCTATGGGCATAAGAAGTTCTCAAGACATTTTCCAACGGAAAATTGACGAGACATTTGAATGTTTACAGGGTGTGACGTCAATAACTGACGACTTATTAGTGTTTGGAAGCACACGCACAGGACATGCCAGAAACCTTAAGAACGTACTCGACCGAGCAAAGGCAGCCGGTTTACGATTTAACCCTGACAAACTGAAAATAGGTCTAACAGAGGTTAAATATTTCGGTCACGTGATCAGTGCTGATGGACTGAAACCTGACCCTGAGAAAATTAGCGCAATTATCGAAATGAAAAATCCTGCAAATCGTGCTAAACTTGAAACCCTGCTGGGTATGATTACATACTTGACAAACTTCTCACAAAATCTCTCGGAGATAACTAGCCCGATGCGAGAGTTTTTACGCAATGACGTAGAGTTCAGATGGGATTCAGCCCAATCTGACGCTTTTGACAAGGTTAAACAAGTGATTACACAAGCACCTGTCCTCAGTTACTATGATTCATCGAAGCCTGTTAGATTACAGTTGGATGCTTCGTCCAAAGGGCTTGGTGTTTGTTGTTTACAAAATGGTAAACCAATTGCATACGCTTCAAAAACACTGACATTGACCGAGACAGGATACGCACAAATAGAAAAAGAGATGCTGGCAATATTATTTGGATGCACTAGATTTAAGCATTATATTTACGGACGGCGCACGGTTGTCGAATCTGACTGTAAGCCGATAGTATCTATTATGAGAAAACCACTTTATAGTGCCCCGCCTAGGTTACAACGGATGTTATTACAACTTCAAGATTTTGACCTCGATGTTATTCACTGTAGAGGTAAAGATATTCCGCTTGGAGATGCTCTCAGCCGGAATTACGTAACTGAAACTTTTCCTAATCTGATTGACGGATTAAAAACACATGTACACACTGTACTGAAATCACTACCGATAAGTGATTTAAAATTGCAGGAAATTCAAACAGCAACGCAAAATGATGCTCAGTTACAAACGCTTGTTAGTGTCATTTCTAACGGATGGCCTGACGACAGACGAAATTGCCATACGACTGTATCAGAATACTGGAATCATAGAGACGAATTGGCTTTTGAAGACAATATTGTGTTCAAGGGTCAAAAAATTGTAATACCAAAATCATTAAGACAGGACATGACTAACGCAGTACATGTGGGTCATTTTGGTGTAGAAAAAACGACAAGACGGGCTAGGGATATAATGTTTTGGCCATCAATGTCAAAACAAATTACAGATTATGTACTTAAGTGCCAGATTTGTTGTAAATATAGAGACTCAAATAAAAAGGAACCATTACATCCTCATGATATACCCCAAAGACCATGGCAATATTTATCATGTGATTTATTTACGTGGAATGGTCAAGATTTTATGGTTCTTGTTGACGCTTACAGTCGATATTTTGAGTTCGACCTATTGATTAGCACTTCTAGTACTTGTATTTTAAGAAAACTTAAGGTACATCTCAGCAGATTTGGTATCTGTGAGAAGTTAAAAACTGACAATGGGACATGCTTTACTAGCGAACAATTTCAGAACTTCCTTAAACAATGGAACATTAAACACGAAACTTCAAGTCCCACGCATGCAAGTTCAAATGGACTTAGTGAAGTATATGTTAAAATTGCAAAACGCATTCTTCAGAAAGCTAAGGATGACAATAAAGATCCTTATTTGCCCCTTTTAGAATATAGGAATACATGCCTTAAATGTGGATGGTCACACGGTAAACTTTTAATTGGCAGACGACTCAAGTCGCTTCTCCCAACAACTAACAAGCAGCGTCTGCAACAAACAGTAAATCATTGTGAAGCACGAAAGAAAATAGAAAAATAAAATTAATGAGCAAGAAGCATTACGATAAAAATGAACAAAATCAAACCTCTAAAAATCGGAGAATCTGTCAGAATTCGAAACGATAAGTACTGGGAATCAGCCAAGGTTATAACCCAGCATAATGAACACTCATTTGACATGAAGACCGCTGACGGTGCTGATTAATTATAATAGAAATCGCCGTTTCCGAACTATCTTACCTGTCAAAATAAACACAGCAACCATCTAAAGTAGATGAACCCCAGGAATCTATTTTAAGTGAACAAACAAGACAAAATACCCCTACAGAGTCCCTATCTCTTGCATATGTGCCAGGTAAATCGAAACCATTCGCAATCACTAGGTCAGGTAGAGAGGTGAAACCGAATAAGCTTTACTGTGGAAAAGATTGGACAAAGTGATAACAATTGTTGAATTGTTGAAATAGCCATTAGTAAAACTGTAAATCAGTGACATTTAGAAAGGATTAAAATTTTTGCTTGTATATATTAATAATATATGTATATTTCAATGTTATCATTAAAAGACCATTAATTATATTTGATATACTTAAATAATTGTTTTTTACAGATTAATTTGAAATATACTAAATGTGCTTATATTTTTAAACAAGGGGAATGTTGTATATTGTAAACATATGTTTCATCTTAATAATATCTTATACTGTAATGCGCATGTCCATTATCTTCCCGCCACTTATATACTTGGAATATCCAGTTATCATTAAACGATAGAACTAGTAACACGTGTCTGTGTTATATATTACAAGTGCACGCTCTGTGTACATATTAATAAATATACCCATAATACAACACTTGTTTGACGCCAACTGTCAAAGCTTGATTTTTAACTTTTTCACCTCCATTCGGAGAGTCAGAAATACATACAAAGCTACCAAAATGCTTAGTTTCGGGTAAAAACCTAAAAATACTTCTTATTTCCTACACACAAACAAGAAAGAATTACAATGACAGAGAAATATCAGAAGTTTCCAGTACCTTCAAAACACCATGTCTGAGTTATTAAAAAAATTGACCGGGGCCATCATTCAAATATGTCCCCTGCCCCCTAAGAAAAAGATTTTCGAATTGACTATATAGTAGTTTAGAGGCAGAAAGCTCGACTTATCTGCAAGTGTAAGACATAGCTCGTTTTGTATTATTCATCATTTTGCAACAAGTTGTACAATACTAGAGTAGATCTTATGAGAATTAGGAACTATGTATCAGCTGCTGATATTTTCATATTTGTTTCTATTGGTTTTACAAGGCTTTTTTAAATAGTATTTTAGTAATATAGCGGCGAGAAGCTATTTACAGTATTTCTTATTTAACCTGTTCTCCACAGATAACTGCCAACTTCTCCATACGATTCAAAGCTGTGGTACTAATTATTCAAAGTTTAATTTTAAACCGTCGCGAAGAAATTGCACCTCACCAAAGGATCAAACTATCTATAGGCTTATACTGGGCTTAATTATCACTCTTACTAACTGCGTTACGCCGTTAGTATATCACTTACCTGTTTGACTAGTGATAACTAGTCTAATACATTCAATGTAGCGGACTCGACAACCACAATCTAAGTACCCTTATTGAGCATTATTATAACAATAATGTCAATTCAGTGCCTTAGCATTCATTATGGTGTATTCTATGTTGCAAAGTTTGGAAATATATTATCGTGTCTTTGCAATCATCAAAGTTAAAGTTATCAACATTAAGATGATATTCACCTATTTTACTGTAAAACCTAAGGCTAAACTGATGAAAAAAGTATATGATTGATCCTGTTTTCATAATTTATTATTATCAGTTTTAACACGCAATTATTACAAACCTGTCTCGTTTAGGTGTGTCTTTACCGTATGTGAGTAGTCATCTTTTAAACCACTGTTGCATAACTGAAATGAACAATCCAAGTAGTCTTGCAATAGTCTTTCAATTTAAGATAAGTAAAATTAAATGTACATCCGAAATATACTTAAATACTGTTTTAAAGTAATGTACACATCTAAAAAGAATTTTCGTTAACAATTGAAGCAGAACAATATCACATGTGATGAAAAAAAATGATAACGAAATATCCTCTAAGTCGGTGTGTGGTGTGAAGTTAGATCTGTTCTTACCTGTTCATCTAAACCTCGGTTTTTATTGAACTGTGAATGTCTTTTGGATTTCTGTTTTTCTAATCTGCCATTCGGCCGTAAGCTGTCTGTTATGTTGACATTCTGTAAAACAGACAGGGGATATGATCAAACTTTTTTTTTGGCAAAACCCCCCCCCTTTCAAACCTAAAACCACTTTTAAAACTTTCTTTTTTTTGCCGGAATTTTAAATTTTAAAATTTTTAAAAAAATTTTGGGGGGGCCCCTTTTCAAAAAGAATTTTAAAATTTTTTAAAATAAGGGAAAGGTTAAAATTTTTTGGGATTTATTAAAATTTAAAAAAAATTTTCTGTTTTTGAAAATTAAATTTTTTTTAACATTAAATTTTCCCTTTTTTGAAATTTGGAAAACGTAAAAAAAGTTTTGTTACTTTTTTCAAATTTTTATTATATTTTAAAAAAAAATTTTACAAATTTTCCGATGGCTTTCCCGAATGTGAAAATTCTTTTAAACCACGGCATTAAAAATGAAAACCCAATATTTTTCTTTTTCTTTTAAAAAAAAAAAAAATTAATTTTAAAAAAAATTTTTAAATTTTTTAAAAATAAGACAAAAAAATTTTTTCTTTCTTTTTAAAGCCAAAATCAATTTTAAAAAAAAGATTACCCAAGGGGTTTTTTGGAATTTTTTGTTTTTTATGCCCAAATTTTTTTTAAAAATTTTTTTTATTTTTTTTTTCCCAATTTGGCCTTTGGGGTTTTTAAAGGGGAAAAAACGGGGGATATATGGGGTTAAAAAAAAAAAAAAAAAAAAAATTTTTTTTTTTTGGGGGGGGGGGGGGGGGGGGTTTTTTTTTTCCCTTTAACCAAAAAACTTTTTGAAAAAGGGGTAACAACCAAATCCGGGTTTTAATTTCCCCTTTCCCCCAAAAGGGGGCATTTTTAATTCTTTAATTTTTTTTTTTTTTAAAAAATAAAATAAACCCTTCCCCCTTTTAAAAAATTATTTCACGGCTAACCCCGGTTATTTTTAACCCAAACGTGTTAATACATTATTCCCGGGGAAATTCCTCAAAAAAAATTTTTCGTGAAACCAAAAACCCCGGGGGGGAACCCCCGGCCCCGGATTTTTTTTTTGATTGTTGCTTTAAAGGGAGACACAGGCAAAATTTTCATTTTCTTAGTTTTTTGTAAATGCCCTTAAAATGAATATATTAGACAGTCAAAGGATCAAAACTTTTCTCCATATAAAGAATAAAATGGTGGTTTCCTAACCTGACCGCGTGGGTCATGTTAGAGCGCAAGCATTTCACAATAGTTGTCAAAGTGAACTCTGGAAACGTTAAAGAACATGTCAAATAATGACTTAGGCTTGTTTCAATCATACAATATCCACAATATCTGTTATTGTAACTTCAAGGGTTTCTTCAAGTCATCTGACTTGTTTTAAAACTATTTGGTGATTCTATTGGTGTCTAAATTTTGTCCAGCATATATAAATATATTTACGCTTCAAACCCAAAATATATAGAATTTAAACAGAAATTCATGCTGAAACTTCATGAAAAGTCATTTTAGCGTGATTTGAGTATATAAGATCATTTTAATATTTTTGTCATTATTTTGCCTGAATATCCCTTTAACTTTCATTTCCTACTGAAATGAAGTAATATTTCAAAAAAAACATAGGTTTTTCAATGTTAAACATAGAGCATTAATTTTATAAAATGCTTACAATTTTGATCGATTTAAAAAAAAAAACAATGTGTTTAAGCTGTTTGTTTTGTGTTGACAACACAATTGGAAATTGGAAAACAGTTCATGGGACATGGAAAAAAGATACTTAGTAAGTGATCCCTAAATGTGGCGCAGAAGAGAGGAAAATATTGTTTCATTCTGAAAATGTAGATAATTAGACGAATGAACTACAGAGCCACTTCCCATCGGTAAAGTTATGCGCTTTTACAAATTAGAAAATAAAAAATAATTAGAAACTGGAATCACATTAAAAAAAACTCAGATCATAACGTTTGCGTGACAGAAAAATAAGAAATTTGTTGCAAATAATAATTCAGATAAAAATATATTAGGTTCGTTTAATTCTGTTTTTTCCAAAAAATAATAGATATGTATGTCTATTAATATAACAACAAACTGATATCATACGCATGACGATGACTGCTTGAGAGTAAAGTCACTCACGTTGGTGCCATCCTTTTCATTGAATGCCACTGCAACATCATCTTTTGCTTCTCTTTTATCATCGATCACTGAAAGCGTTACAAATTTAACAAGCCGTTGAACAAACAACAACATTAGTGTGTGTCTACATTAAAAGTTTATTTTACCAATTTAATAATTTTACTTTGTAATTATAAAATAAGACAAATATATCAGAATGATGTCATTGTGCGAATTGCAATTGAACTAATTTGTCAATCAAGAACTTATCAAGATTCGAGATTTCAAAATTCAAGATTTTATTTCAAAACGTATAAACGTTTACAATGTTCGTCGCCAAAAAGCACAAAGGTGGTTTCAGATAAGTTAAGATAAATGAGAAAAGTATGTTGTAAACTGAATATATTATCATATAATAAGTTGAAACAGTTATGTTCTGTTCTGATAATAAAATAGTTGGCCCAAATGTTATGTGAATTTTGCGCATTTGGTATGCCAGTGAGCGCAAATGAAGTTGTCCGATGTCATGCTATGATTTATTTTACAGGAGAGATATTTACTTTTTTACATTATTACGTCATTCAAAATGGTCTATGTATAGGATCGTGCTGAAAATAGGTTCTGTTTTACCTATATAACTCAGACAAAAGTTATTATATAAGTAAATGTCTCGCCTTGAAAGTAATTAAACGGTTTCATGTTCCAAAATTGAGCATAGTTGTCAATGTTGGTGAATATAGAAATACTAAAAAACTGGTTATTAAAATAGTTTTAATGTCGTCTTAAAGCAGGATTGTTTCGGTAAATCTTGAAATGTTCTTTTCTTTGATGATCTTTCAATGATTTAAAGTTTTAACAAGGTGGTAATGAATTATTTTTTGAAAATAATTATCAAGAATGGAATATGGAGTACAGAATAGTTGACAACACGCTATACTTTGTCAATAAAAATCATTATCAAAACTTACCAGTCTTCTTTTCTTTGATGTGTTTACATTTTCTCCCTACATACTCTGTAGAAAGTTTCGATTTCCTCCCTGGTGGCATACCTTGTTGAAGATCTGTACCACATGAAGCTACTGAAATGTTGTACAAGTTTTAGAAATTTAGTTACAAACTTTAATCCCTATCTCGCTAAATATCTAAATAAACGTGTCCAGTTTTCAATTTGGACAAAACCATTGATCGATTCTACGGAAAAGTTCAAATATGTTCTGACTGAAAAGCGAAAGGTGCAAATCTTGACAAGTTGGCGGCATTGGTTGCAAAGGGATATTCAGTTGCCGCCAGGTGGCTAGAGGTTAAACACCAAGAATGAAAGAAACATTCCGAGATGTAATGACAGCACAAAAGGAAATGCGATATTTGATGTTTCAAATTATGGTTTGATTTTTAGAAAAGAGTTTTTAGTTAAGAGTCTAACGGCATTTTTTAGTACAAGCAGGTAGTCAATCGTTTTTACATAATTCGGGTATGCTGAATCCATTTTTTGCTCTACCACGGCTGTACTTTAAGTCCTTGACCTTCAAAAGGTCAAATCAAAATGGCCGCCATTGTACTTTACCATCTACTTAAAAAAATTATTTTTTCTGGTACATATCGTATCGTATTTCCGTTAATCTACATGGAATAAAGTTTCAATTACTTTAAGGAATAATTGGCTGATAATTATACATGCTTTACACATTGACTGCTATGCCGGCCATCTTTGATTTCAAAATGAACACCTTTTTAATAAATATAAGTGCTTTTACACAAATGGATCCTTCTGTAGGAATGAGTATCAAAAATTGAATACTAGTAATGATATGATCAACATCGAATTGTACACACTGTGTAGGTATACTGCACACTTTAATTTACATCATTACTTCAAACTATCACAGGTCATTCTTTTTGGACAATTAATCAATATCAGGTATCTGAGATCCCAAATGTCTTATATAAAACCTGCACATTTTAATTTACCATTAGATGTTTAAGTATTCTTTATTTTGATAGAATAGCATTTGTGTAAACATTTATGGACACTAGATCATTTTATAATTTGAATGCAAAGAGTCAAGGTCAGTATGTAAATATTTTTAAAATTGCCTGTCATCTTCACAGGTCAGCGACTATGTCTTTGAGCCCGCATGTCTTTGCAACAATATCTTTTGTACGACCCGATTTCAAATAGAAAAAAAACAACAACAACAGAATCCCAAAACAGCGATCAAAACAGCAAATTTTAAAATGTTTTAGACTCGATTTGATTGAGCCTGTACATGGACGTTACTGAAAATTGCAAAGTACCGTCCAAGCACCCTAGCTCCGGCCTACGCAAAATTCATATATCAAAGGGGAAAATTGTGAGATTTGGAATTTAGAAACATCCGCAGATGTGTTTATACGATACTTTTTATTGTTGTTTTGATAAAGCTACTTTATAAAGGGTCGTATTTATCAATCAAACTTTAAACATGCCTAGACATGGTTAAAAACAGATCATCTATTTATTAATTGAAATAAACTCAAATAAATGGTAAAGTCATTTTAATCTTTATTATCTTTCACCTTGAAAAAAGTCTCGAAAACATGAACCATAAACAGTCTACGAGCTTGCACTGTCTTACGGTTAATGAATAATATAGAGTAAAACATCATAGGTCTACCGCAGTACCTGCATAGAAGATTAGACAGTTAATTGATATATACCAATTCTCAATTAATATATTGACGATTCACTGCTGTTTACACTTTTTTATTATTACAGAATGACTTGATAGAGCATTTTGGATTTTTGCTACTAAATTATGTAAAATATATGACGTCGAAGCCTATGTCTTTAAATTTTATTTACTTAACTGAAAATTCGAGTTTTTTGCGTTTCTCTTAATTCATTGGTATTTATTCATTGTCTTAGTTTATGACTACCCAGACAATTAAGTAAAACAAAGATAAACAAGGGCGTGCAACTTGAAATGTCTCCGAAGCTCGGCTCAGTTAAGGATCCATTACCTTTGTTGCTGGGCGTGTTGAGGCTGCGTTTATTGAATGCCACCTTTCTTTGTTAATCTTCTTTTCCATGTTTTACATTGAAGGCATGGTCACTGTAGTCTTACAATGTGCTTATAGTGTGCAGTTAGATAAAATACGTTATAGAAGCAGTGCAGGAATTTGTGGTAAGTAGAAGTGTGCTTATTACAGATTTCTGCCTCCACTTATTTGCTTTTTACAGACATTAAACTCAATATAAAAAATATTATAACAAACAGACAAACGGTTGAGGATATTCTAGTGTTTAATAACATACTGATATGAATTTCTTTTAATTCCATAAAGTCCGTATTATTACTCGTTTAATATTCTATTAATGCTAACTTATAAATGTTCCAATACTGACTCATGAGGCATGCTTAATATCAGTTGTGTAAAGGTTAACAAGACAATGCTAGATGCACAATGTCTAAGCTCTGGGTATAGTTTCACGCAATAAATCTTAAATGTGTTTCCCTTTATAAGTAATATTCATAAGAGGCCAAGTCCAGCTTTCTGCACATCAATTCATTTAAATGAACGAAAAAAGCTTCTCCTAAATAGTTTTAATTTCTATTTATCTAACAAAAAAGTTATTTAAATATTATTACATTTAATTAGTAAACAAAGAACATTTACAACAAAAAAGAACTCATATTCGCTGTAGTTATAATTCAATAAATATATATTCATTTTTATTATTCATCAACCCTGTGTCAAACCTGTCTCTTTATATCCGCCTGACTCAATTTTTATGTTCACCTTAATGTTTATATAAATGATTTAATACTGCATTGCTCCAAAGATCAATAACCGAAGTAATGTTTCTACGATGGGTGTTCAAAAAGAAATAGGACTAAGAGTCTTGTATCTTCACATTCCATTAAAGAACGGCAATGGTAAATTGCTGTCTACAACGTAAGTTTATTGAATTGTTACGCTATATGCGTGTTCCCCGTAATATTGACTTACCATGGTACCACGCACACGACGCAGCGCATCACAACTATTTGAAAGCTAATTTGTACTGATAGTTTATTCATAATTTGTCGTCTGTTTTTCCATATATTCCACCAACACATGTTATCATATTTAAGTGACATTTTGTCATAATTTGACTGATTTTGACAAGAAATAGCTAAATTTATTAAGTTTTTGAAAGCAGTTATGATAGCGGTAAATGTAGAATTATGACGTTCGTTGAAAAATTGTGCGATCGTTGAATTTTGCCATTTCTATTGTTAAAACGTTTGAAAAACTTTAACGGTATTTTTTCTTTTGCATTAACAATTTGACAACCTAAAACGGGATTACGCCTAAATAATTGAAATGGAAATTCATTTAACTCTTGTCACTTTTCAGTCTGAGATGAACTGAATAAAAGTAGGAATTTCACTTGTCATTTAAAGACCCTTTAAATAGCCATAGCTTGTTACTATTAACCGCTTGCGACACTTTTAGATGAACTCGATGGTGAATGTTAAGGAGATCACATGTCTGATTTTGTCCCTTAAAGATTCAAGGTTAAACATGTGTCGTTAAATGTATCGATTTATACATGCTAACAAGTGGAGATCATAAAAGAATCTTATGCAAAGTATGTGTTTGAATAGTTTCTTAAAACATATAAAATAAAAAATTAACATTCACTTAAAGAAGATAGAGGAAAAATTGTTCAGAATAAAATAATTTCAATAGACAACAATTATTAAGCTGATATTTTTTGTGTCGAAAATGCAATATATTCTATACTTGGTTTGCTTATAAGTCAGATTTGTTTGATTATTGGATAAAATCATGTATATACGTACCATATATAATTATGATTTAAATGTCGTGTTAAAACATTTAAAAATCTTAAATATATTGTGAGTCATTGTACTTTTTTCAAAAAGTGTCAAACCACAGTAGTCAATTCTTTTCAATGATTTTTTTACAGTATTAGACATAATACAATGTGTGTGACCGTGATTATCAATGATAGCCTTGCAGCCACTTCTCATACTCTCTCATAGATTTCTGATCGTTCTAATGGGTACCTATTCTTGTACCAACATGGCTCTTAGCTGGTGGATGGTTCTGGGTTGCAACTGACGGGCTGAATTACTAATCTACAGCTCATTCCACATGTGTACTATTGAATTTAAGTCAGATCAGCGAGCTGGCCAGTCCATGCGCTCAATAGACTCCCTCTCTAGGTAGTACTGGACCACCCTGGCCCTATGGGGACGAGCAATATCGTCCATTTGAATGAACTGATCGCCGACTGCTCCAGTAAAAACTAACCTGATTGTCTTAGATGTCGTCTATGTACCGCAGACCTGTCAATGTGCCTCTATTAAGCACAACCAGGTCTGTTCGTCCATCCCAGCTAATGCCTTCCAACACCATTACTGGCCCACTTTCGTAACGGTCATGCTCAGCAATATTTGCAGAATGAAACCGTTCACCTCGTCTTCTCCAGACTCTAGCACGCCTATCTGGGAAGTCTATGCAGAACCTGGACTCATCAGTGACCAGAACGTGTTTCAAGTGTTGCATGGTCCACCGTGTAAGCTCCATGGTTTCATTCCAAACGGGCCTGACGTTGCCGACGCGTCAAGGGGATAGGTATGCATGGGCTTCTCGACCGCAAATTACTTTCACGTACCGTCTGCGTGGACACAGAGACTCCCGCATCATAAGCAAGGTCATTTCAAAGAAAGATTACTGTCGAAAACCTTGCACGTCGTGCCTGAATGAGCAAAAAACGATCCTGAGGTGGTAGTGTGATCCTTTCTCGACCTCCAGCATGCCTCCTGGCAGGTGAAACATGTAGCCGGTTTCTCCTCCATGCTCTGGTGATGACGGTGTGGTGCACACTAAGCGCCGCACCAACCTGGCGGAAGGTGGCACACTGCTGCGCCATCCCTTTAGCACTTCATAACTCTGCTTCTCTCAAATGCCGGCTAATGTTAGCATTCGCCATAGCGAAGTGACAGATGTAAGAAAATGTAAGTCACTGAATGACATAAGCCGGTAATGTCGCCAAACAAAAGACATGTGATTTTACTTCCCATCAACAACATGAAACTATTAGGGTGCATGCTTTCCATTCTACCTGAACGAGTTGTAATGGATTAGTCAACACGGATTCATGTCAGGGGAAAACATTGCTGAATCAGTATTTTAAAAAATTGGAAATAAATTGTGATAATATAGAAATAAACTTATGGTGCTTAGCTAAAGTTTTGTAGTATATTATAGATCAATTAGGGGATCAACATTTAAAGTGGAAAAGAGAAGACAATGGCGGATTTTGTCCCAATTGGTATTGGCTAAATGCTTAACTTTGACAAAATCGTAGAGGACCAATTACTTTCATACAAGTGATCAAGCATCTGGTATTGCATGACAAAAGCTCACTATTGTAAGAGTACATATAAACCAACTTTATATGGATTATGTTATGTCTGACCAGATGTTTAGGAGAAAGTGATAAGGTGATTTGCACACAAAAAACGCGTCTTGGCGTTTCTTTCATTTTTTTTCTTTTTTGATATCAGAAATATTTAATATCTCATCAGTATTAAAAAGAATCTTTAACACAATTACCAACGTCCTCAGCCTTAGGGAAGTATTATATGAAGAATAAAATTGTGCTATTTCAAAAGATTGAGGTATGGATCAGGACTTTTAGTCCAAAATTTTTATCAATGCTAGATCTGCAAATGCCGCAATAAATTTATTTAATAATGAAATCAAATTAAATGACTCCTATGTGTCAATATAAATATATCAATGTGTTTATCAATATTTCAAAACAACAAAATGTTACAAAGCAGATAAAATAGTGAGGAAATGGTCAGTGTAAGAAACTGGAATCACTGTACTAGTGCAATGTATGTGAACAGATACAAAGATTATGATATCTTTAAATTGTAAGTGTGACCTTGTAAGACCGAACTCATAAAGTGCGACCTTGACCCTGTAAGTAGTGGTCTGGTTTAGCGCATGACGCATCGTCTTATTATAACAAACATTTGTGCCGAGTTATTTCAAAGTCCTCTGATAAATGACAAAGTTATGGACCGGAAACGAAAGTGTGACGGATGGAGAGACGGACGGAGGACGGAGCCTATTTCTATATCCCCCTTTTTTCTTCGAAAAGGCGGGGTACAATTATGTTATTTCCCAATTTTAGCAATTATGTGATAGTGTCCGTTTTTAATATGTCTCTTAACTTCAAACTTGAAATAGCTACTTTTAACCTCTCAGTAAACCTGAGAAATTCAGAAATTCTGGTGGTTGCAGTTTTAATCCAAATATCTTGGAAATTGATGAGGAAGATTGGTTTCATGATTTCTAGGTTCAAATATGGATCATCCCCGGTCAAAACCTAGGTCACAGGAGCTAAAATAAGAAAAATATTGTTAAAACTGTAGCTTTTATCAAAAAATTCTGGAAATTTGTCAGGAATGTTGTTTTCATGATTTTTGGGTCAAGTTCGAATATGGGTCATCTCTTCTAAAAAAACAAGGTCACAGGAGCTAAAAATAGAAAAATCTTGTTAACACTCTAGTGGCTGCAGTTTTAATAAAAATATCCTAGAAATTGATCAGAAAGGTGGTTTTAATGATATCTAGGTCTAAGTTTGAATATGGGTCATCTGCGGTCAAAAACTAGGTCACAGGAACTAAAAATAGAAAAATCTTGTTAACAATCTAGTGGCTGCAGTTTTAATCCAAATATTCTGGAAATTAGTCTGTAAGTTTGTTTTGGTGATTTCTAGGTCATGATTAACTATGGGTTACCTGGGGTTAAAAACTAGGTCAAACCTCCCCAATATGGAGAAACCTTGTTAACACTCTTATAGTAACATATTTGACTCAATTGTCATCAAACTTGATCAGGATGCTTGTCTAGGTAAATTGCTTGGAGATTTCAGAACAAAAATCAACTGTGATGAAAAACTAGGTCAAATGAACTAAAAAAAAGAATTTGTAAACGCTTTAGCGGCTACTGTCGTTATCCATTTATCATGGAAGTTGGTTTGCAAGTTTGTTTAGATAATTTCTAGGTCAAGTTTGAATATTGCTCACCTGGGACCAAAAGTAGGTCACACTGCCCAAATATGGAAAATATTGTTAACACTCTAGAGATCACATTTTTTATTCAATTTTCATAAAAATTGGTCAAGATGCTTGTCTAAGTAATTGCTTGGATGAGTTTGATTGGTCAGGTGAGCGAGCTAGGGTCATCTTGGCCCTCTTGTTTTAAGAAACTCTTTTAAAAAGTGTACAAAGGTGCAATTGTCTCCCATGAAATACAGACCACACAATAACTCAAGGTCATATTGGTGAACATTTACATTAGAAACACTTTGTGAAAAGAATAATATATCTCTAATACTTATTGCTTAAATAATCACTGTTCGTAATTTGGATGCGAGGAATTAAATCATGAGGGTGTAGGTCGAGCAATATTATTCTAAGCATACGAACTGTATTGTATTGTGTGCTGCAAAATATGACAATTATAAAAAGATTTAAAATTGTAAAATTCAGATTGTCTAATAGTTTAGAGGTAGAAAGCTTGATTAATCTGCAAACAGTTGCTGGTCCAAGTGTTAGGAAGAGCTCATTTTACATTATTCGTCAATTTGCAAAAGTTTGTACACCACTAGAACAGATCTTATGAGAATAAGGAAATCATTTATGTTTCAGCTGCTTATATTTTTATCTTGTTTCTATTGGAGTTTACAGCTCTTTCAAAAAAAATTATTTTAGCAATATAGCGGCAATAAGCTACCAACAGTATTTCTCAATTATGTATCAGTATAATTGTTTCTCCGAAAATAGCTACCATCTTCTCCATAGGATTAAAACCTGTGGTACTAATCATTCCAAGATTAATTTAAAACCGTCGCGAAGTGCACCTCACAAACGTATCTATAGACTATACTTACACTGAGCTTAATTTACAGTCTTACTTATTGCGTTATGCCGTTAGTATATCACTAACCTTTTTAACTAAAGATAACTTGTATAATACATGGTTTTGCCATGGCATTAGCGGACTTGACGACCTCCGCGTCACTCTACAATCATTACTTTCAAAAGTCTGTCAATTCAGTGCGTTAACATTCATAATGGTGTTTTCTTTAAGGTTAAATGGCAAAGTTTTGGAAATATGTTCAACTTCCGCGTGTTCCTGCATTCGTGTTTGTGCTATCATTCTTTAAATTATCATTATTCATATGATTTTATGCTATTTCACTGTTACAACTGAGGAGAAATTGATGGAAAAAAATATATGATTGACCCTTTTTTAAATTTATCATTTATTACATGTGTTTATTTATTTTAAAGAACAAAGTAACAAACCTGTCTCGTTTAGGTGTGGCTTAGCCGTATGTGAGAAGTCTTCTTGTAAACCGCTTTTGCATAACTGAAAAGAACAATCCAAATAGTCTTGCAATTATAATAGTCCATATTTAAATACTCTTTCAAAGTCATTAACACGTCCAGATAGAATTTAAGTTAACAATTGAAGCAGAAAAATATCACTTGTGATACAACATTGGATAAGGAGAGATCGTCAAAGTCGGTTGGTGGTGTGTAGTTATATCTGTTAAAGGATCCTACCTGTGGATCTAAACGTCGTTTTTTATTGCACAATTTGCATTTCTGTTTTCATAACTTTTTGGCCCTCTGTCCTTACGCATGAATCGGGTACCGGGTTTTAGTTATTTATAATATAACATAGATTTGATTTATCTATTATAATAAAATAATAATTGCGCTGTTCACCCCTAACGCCTCTGTTTTATATCATTTGTCTAGGGTAAACATTTCGTTCTATCAGTTAGACGTGATATTTATATATATAACCAAATGCTGGGCCTGAATAGCATCCAATCAAAAAATCTTAAATGTCCGTTATGTTATTAGACAACATGAACGAGAGCAAAAACCACGTCAAGGCTCTTTTTTAATTTCATTCTAAACAAATGTTCAAAAATGTAAATATCAAATATGATTGCAGAAACGAACCATTTGCCAATAGAAAAATGTAGAAAATATTTTTGAACTGCTAGTTAAGAACACTTGAAGTAGAACAGACTACCTAACATTTTTATCAGTGTATTATATTCCGTCTATTCCATAGTTGCTTTAACTTTCTTTTCCTACTGAAATAAATAATATTGTAAAAAATTATGTTATTTTTGGATCTAAATGATAAAAAATAGCATTAATTTTTAAAAAAAAAATAAAATGCATACAATTTTGATTGATTAAAAACGTTTGTGTTTAAACTGTTTGTTTTGTTCTGACAATTGGAGTAAAATCATTGGACATGGCAAAAAGATAAGTGATCTCTAAATGTGTTGGAAAAGAGAGGACAAAACAGTGTTATGGCAATTTTTTATAATTAGGATAGGGTTATGATACGGTTTCATAATTTGTCATTGTTTCCGGTGTTCCTCAATCAGTGAATCTGGTTAAAACTTGCTCCACCTCCCCTTAAATTAACTTTAGGAGGACGATGTACTTAGTTAAAGTTCTTCGTTGCAATTTGGTAAAATATTTTCTCGTTAACACAATCTGCATGTCCAAAATATAAGATTAACTGGTTAGTCAGATTATTGGGAAATCCCAACTTAGGGTCATCGGTTTACATGTATTTGGGAACGAGATCTTCAACTCAACTTTATCTATCATCTTTTAAAGACGACCCTCGAGATATTTTTTTCCCTTTTATTCAGTATGTGTGGGGTTTTAAGATATCTATTTTACATCTTATAAAATATAACCAATTGATCTCATGGTTCTCGTTAAAATAAAAATAATTATTGGATTAATTCTTACCAATTTAATTTTTTTTTCATTTCCAGAGTCCAAGACATTTAATTCAGTGCCAACCATACCAAAAATAGCATCGTTTATTTTCAGAGTCAAAGAAATCTAAACCAAATGCATATATCGTTATTAACAGCCTCATTTTAATTTTTGGGAGTCCAAAAATCAATATCAAATCTCCATTGTGAAAAATAAATGTCATTGAGAACAATACTGATTCTATTGACTCTGTATATAGCTGCGAATGTTTTTCAGCATCTGCTAGCTCATCGTATAACAGAGCCAGGTTAACATGACCATCCCCCGCCGAATGCATTTGCACATTGGAAGAATGTATATGTAGTCGAGCAGAATAATTCAATTTTTAGAGGTCTTTTGTTGGCTGAAGTGATTACAGATTTGAGGACCAAAATAGAGAGTTCCCAAGTTGCGATGGCTGCTGCAAGTGACTGCGGCTTTGAAATTCTCCCCCCTCCCCAATATTCTCCGGACTTGGCCCCCTCTGACCTCTACCTGTTTTAGAAACAGAAAACCAAGCTTCGTGGTAGACATTTTGGAAGCAATGAAGGTGTCATGGAGGCGGTCAATGAGTTCTTTGAGGACCAAATTAGAGAGTTCTATTGTGAAGGATTAAACGTGTTGGAGCACAGGTGGGCAAAGTGCATTGATGTAGTGCATTGGGTTTCTGACTACCTGAAAGTACATAGGGCCAAGAACTTTTTGATCAATCCTCGTACAGCCGGGTATCCCAGTCAAATTGAATATCTATGCATTATCTGTGACAGTAAGGGAACAAAATGTTAAAACTTATACGGCGTTTTAATCCGGCGAGTTTAATTTGGTAGTAATTAGTTGACTTTGCGTAATTTCTGCAATTATTTATTTTATATATTGAACAAAAAGTTAAATGTTTATGATGAGAAAAATATTTTTCGACATTTTATTTGTTATTATTAACTCGAAATTAAAGACTCGAAATTTTGAGGTATTAGAATTATTACAAAGTAAGTTGCATTTAACAAATATGACAACAAACTGAAATCATACGCATGACGACGACTGCTTGAGAGTAATGTTAGACACGTTGGTGCACTCCGATTCATTGAATGTCACTGCCGCCTTGGTAACATCATCTTTTGCTTCTCTTTTATCATCGAAAACTGGAAGCGTTACAAATTTTGCAAGTTATGGAACAAATAGCAACATTAGTATGTTATTTTCTAAAAGGTTTATTTTTATTTTCAAATATATATTTATTCTCTTGAAATAACAATTGATACATGTAATGATTAAAATTTATCAAATACATCAGACCTATGCCATTGGGCGTACTGCAGTTCCGCTAATCGGCCATTCAAGAACGTATCAAGATTCAAGATTTATAAACTTCAAGACTTTATTTCAAAACGTTTAAACATTTACAATGTCCGTCGCCATAAGCAAAACGACAGTTACAAATAATAAACGTGAAAAGTGTGTAGCAAACTTAATTAATATAGAACAGTTCTGTTCTGTTCTGATAATAAAATATTTGACGCAGAAAATACGTTCTTAATGGCCCAAGAGTTTCCTTTTGTTTGTTTGTTTGTTTGTTTCATTTTACGACTTTTCTAACAATATTTCAGTCATATAGGCGGATAGTTTCCTAATCATCGTTTCTGAAGAGTTTTGCCAGTACTAGACTACCTTCCTCCGCGCTAAACTACCACAGCATCTCCCTTGGATTGACCCACGCCAGAGAGGTAACTGGATTAGAAGTCATCGACTTTTACCCCTCGACCACGGAGGCGTTACCTAAATTTTGCGCACTTGGTATGTCAGCTAGCTTAATGAAGTTGCCCGATGTCATGCTATGATTTATTTTACAGAGAGATGTTTCCAAAAGTCATTCAAAATTGTGTATATACATGAACGTATTGAAAATAGGTACTGTTTAAGGTAGAATATATACCTATATGTGTGTGTCAAAAATTAGTATAGTTGGAGTGAAGATAAAAATATTGAAAATCTTATTATTTACATATTTAAAGCTATCCAGCTAGCTTACGGAACGTTGGTGGTTCTACTCAGGTGTCCGTTCGTTCCTGAGATAATGCGAGGTCTTCCTCCACCAGTAAAGCTGGAACGTCGCCATATGACCTATACTGTGTCGATGTGAAGTAAAACCCAAACAAACAAACGTACATACATATTTAAATGTCGTCAAAAAGCATTTGCGAAACATCTTGATTAATAGTCTTCTTTCAAGGTTAGTTTTAATAAGTTGGTTATGAATTTTACTTGTAAATAATTATCAAGAATGAAACATGGAGTACAGAATAGTTGACAGCAATCTATAGTTTGTCACAAAATAAATTCATTATCAAAGCATACCACTTTCGTCTTCCTTATTTTTAAGTTTTTTCCATGCATACTTTTTCTTTGTAGCAAGTTTCGATTTCTTCTTTGTTGGCATACCTTGTTTACGATATTACCAGATGAAGGTACTGAAAAACGTTTTACAAGTTTTACAAATGCAGTGAAAATGTTAATTCTTAATCCTATATTAATAGACGTGCCCATTTCTCAATGGGATAAAACAACTTATCGTTTCTACAGAAAAATTCAAATATGTTCTGTCTAAAAGGCAAACAGTGAAGACCTTGACCAGTGGTCGGCACTGATTACAAAGGGATATTCAATAACGTTATAAGTCAAGAAAACTGCACTGATTTATCGGCGTGTGACAAAGTTAGAAGTGTTCAATTTTAGGGGAAATCCTTTCGTTTCGTTCAAAGCCTTGATAATGACCGTGTTGTCACTCCAGAGAAGATGTGTAAGCGGCAAGAACAGACAGAAAGATGTCATAGGACAAAATATTTAACTGTATTTGTGTTCAATCGCGTCATATTCCAAATATATTTGTATTATCAACTTTTGGCGTAGGATATATACATGTAACTTTGATAAATTGTTATTACTTTATTATATAAGCATATGCCATTGTCGACGTAGCCCAATCGATAGTTATTTGTGTATTTGATTCGACAAAAGACGCAACTCCTGTAAATATCCAAGACAAAACATTAACATAGCTACATATATGCCTATGACAAAATGTAAAGTACAATATAGAATTTAACATCAATTGCTATAGATCGTATGTTGATATAAAAAAGAACAGAAAGTGACAGAAATTCTATTTAGTCTTTACTAGTACTCGTTAAATGTACTGTGACAGGGCGGGAACGCTAAAGTCAATACCTTAGGAAAATCTAACTAATCAATTTTAAAAGAATATGTCCAATCTGACTACACAGGTTTTATTAATATATTAAACAGTGCTGACGAGCATCATAATGCTTTGGACATAAATAATGTTCATTATCTATATGATACTAAACGATACCCAAGATGGAGTGCATTTTGTTTCATGTTTCATAAAACTTCTGAAGAGGTTTACTAGATCATGCTGCATATAAAAAGTCTGAGTAATGTAGTTACAACAAAAAAGACGTGTTTCTTATTCATATTCAAACATGACCTAGAATCATCTAAACAAACTTTCAGACCAATTTCCAAGGTATTTAGATCAAAACAGTAGCCACTAGAGTGTTAACAAGATGGTTTTTTTTTAATTTTTAGCTCCTGTAACCTAGTTTTTCATCCGATATAACCATGTTCGAACTCATCCAAGCAATTACCAAGATAAGCATCCTGATAAAGTTTGATGACAATTGAGTTAAAAGTGTGACCACCACAGTGTTAACAAGATATTTTCCATATTTGGGCGCTGTGACCTAGTTTTTTACCCATATTTTAACTTGACATAGAAATAATCAAAACAAACTTTCAGACCAATTTTCAGGATATTTGGATCAAAACAGTTGCCACTAGAGTGTTAACAAGATTTTTCTATTTTTAGCTCCTGTGACCTAGTTTTTCATCCGAGATGACCCATGTTCGAACTTATCCAAGCAATTACCTAGACAAGTATCCTGACAAAGTTTGATGATGATTGAGGCAAAAATGTGACCACTAGAGTGTTAACGAACAAATGTGGACGGACGACGGACATTCAACGATCCTAAAAGCTCACCCTGAGCTAGCTCAGGTGAGCTAAAAACGGTTTAAATCACTTGATAATGACAGGTAGTATTACCTTGAGAGTGAAAAGACTTGAAAATGATTATGTAATCAGATTATCTTGACAAAAATACGAGTATAGACAAATGGTGTAATTCACCCTGTGCATTTTGGATTTATGCAAAGTAGCTGGGGTATACATGGTAACAAACTGTTTATTCAGTATTGCACAGCAATCGAAGATGATTGTTAACACTGTTTATAATTAGTGATTTATAAAAGTATAAGATCTATTTTTAACCGCAATTCAGTTTTGGCTTTTGACTGGTCTAAAGTTTATGGTCATATTAAATTTAAGTTCGCACTATGTTAACAAAATACGGTAGAACTTCTATGTGTCGAGTCTTTATATGATTCTTAATTTTATGTGTCAGTTTTTTCGATGTGTCTAAGTATTCACGTGGTCAGTAAAGAAAAATTCGATAATATTTTACCATGAATAAGTCAAAGTTTTGCAATCAGTTTGACAACTTTGATCTGGAGATATTTTTGACATCTTTTCTAGCCGCGATAATGATTTCCGATTAACTTGTAAACTGATTTTAATTACACAGCCTTGCGTTCCTGTTGTTTTTGTAAGCGTTTCTATGTCTAACAAGGGTGCCATAGTCACAAGATACGCCCGTTTACGAAAGCTTTAGATGGAGATGGGGGCATTATGGATAAGTGTTATCTAGCAAGCAAGTTTTTATTCTTGGCACTGTGTTGTTAAATGAACCTTAAAACAAATCAGTAGGGAAGATATGCACAGGATGTGTGACCTTGACCTTGGTCGCAGGGACCTGAATTTTATGCACGGCACTCAGCCTCACAATGATGAACATTTGTGCCAAATTATATTGAAATCCCTCTATGCATGTAGAAGTTTTGCTCCAGACAAGCGTTTTTCTATGAGCTCTAACTGTGACCTTCACCTTTGACCTAGAGACTTGGTTCATGTGCAGGGCACTACGTCTCATGGTGGTGAACAATTCTATAAAGTAACATTAAAATTCCTCCATGCATGTAGAAAATATGCTCCGGACAACATCTGGATATTTAATCATCTCCAGTGACCTTGACCTTGCAAATATTAACCTTAATTAAATGTGTCACACCTGTAGTCATGATAGTTACCATTTGTGCTACAATCCATCAATAAATGATGACTAAATGGTCCCTATACACATCTTCAAATTTTTATCTGAACTTTGACCTCTATGTGTAACATTGACTTTGGTCGCAGGGATCTGAATTTTGCGTGCGACACTCAGCCTCTGACACAATGGTGAACATTTGTGCCAAGTTATATTGAAATCCCCCTATGAATGTAGAAGTTTTGCTCCGGACAAGCGTTTTTTCAATGAGCTCTAAGTGTGACCTTGACCTTTGACCTGGAGACCTGGATCATGCATGGAGCAATACATATCATGGTGGTGAACATTTCCATAAAGTATTATAAAAATTCTTCCATACATGTAGGAGATATGCTCCAGACAAAATCTGGATATTTCACCATCTTTAGTGACCTTGACCTTGCATATATTGACCTAAAGTACATGTGTCACAGCCGTTGTCATGATAATGACCATTTGTGTTACAATCCCTCAATAAATGATGATTAAATCGTCCCTATACACATCTTCATATTTTTATCTAAACTTTGACCTCTATGTGTGACCTTGACCTTGGCTGCAGGGACCTGAATTTTGTGCGCGACACTCCGCCTCACAATGGTGAACATTCGTGCCAAGTTATATTGAAATCCCTCTATGCATGTGGAAGTTTTGCTCCGGACAAGCGTTTTTCAATGAGCTCTAAGTGTGACCTTGACCTTTGACCTAGAGACCTAGTTCATGTGCGTGACATGGCTTCTCATAATGGTGAACATTTCTATGAAATTTCATTAAAATCCCTCCATGCGTGTAGGAGATATGCTCCGGACAAAATCTGGATATTTCATCATCTTTAGTGACCTTGACCTTGTATATATTGACCTAAATTATATGTATCACAGCCATAGTCTTGATAATGACCATTTGTGTTACAATCCCTCAATAAATGATGACTAAATGGTCCATATACACATCTTCATATTTCTATCTGAACTTTGACCTCTATGTGTGACCTTGACCTTGGCCGCAAGGACCTGAATCTTGCGCGCGACACTCCGCCTCACAATGGTGAACATTTGTGCCAAGTAATATTGAAATCCCTCTATACATGTGGAAGTTTTGCTCCGGACAAGCATTTTTCAATGAGCTCCAAGTGTGACCTTGACCTTTGACCTAGAGACCTGGTTCATGTGCGCGACACTGCTCCTCATAGTGGTGAACATTTCTATGAAGTTTCATGAAAATCCCTCCATACATGTAGGAGATATGCTCCGGACAAAATTGGACGCCGCCCGCCCGCCCGACCGACCGCCAGGGGCGTTCCCATAATACGTCCCGTTTTTCAAACGGGCGTATAAAAAGTACATGTAATTGTAATTTAATAACTAAAAAATTCTGATTTAAGATTTTATTCTAGGGAAATACATTTTATTACAATTCTTAATCTTTGAATGAGCTGAACTGATAATTACTTGAAAATTAAAATATAATTAAATTTCTATGAGAAAGTATTTACATTTGATAAGGTAATTGCTGTATGATCTTTATGAACAAATACCAAGTCTACAGAACACCATAGTTATCAAAGTTAAGAATCTTGACCAATGAATGAAACATGTGTAAATAAATGTTACATTCTTGAGAACATACTCAAGTCCAAGAAAGAGGATTATTGTATGCCCTTTGATTAAATTCTATTTTTAGAATTGAAAGTGAAAGTAGATCAAGGGGAGTAATTGTGTAATCATATATGAACAAAGTAATAACTTTGTTGTCGCCCTTTGATTAAATTCTATTTACAAAATCTGGATATTTCATCATCTTTAGTGACCTTGACCTTGTATATATTGACCTAAATTATATGTATCACAGCCATAGTCTTGATAATGACCATTTGTGTTACAATCCCTCAATAAATGATGACTAAATGGTCCATATACACATCTTCATATTTTTATCTGAAATTTGACCTCTATGTGTGACCTTGACCTTGGCCGCAAGGACCTGAATCTTGCACGCGACACCCCGCCTCACAATGGTGAACATTTGTGCCAAGTAATATTGAAATCCCTCTATACATGTGGAAGTTTTGCTCCGGACAAGCATTTTTCAATGAGCTCCAAGTGTGACCTTGACCTTTGACCAAGAGACCTGGTTTATGTGCGCGACACTGCTCCTCATAGTGGTGAACATTTCTATGAAGTTTCATTAAAATCCCTCTATACATGTAGGAGATATGCTCCGGACAAAATTGGACGCCGCCCGCC